TGCTCAGGTACCCATCACTGGTCCTCCTCCAGGCTATGAATGACCTGAATCCCACCCCTTGGACTTACAAGAGAATGCTGCAAAGGGCTGTGAAGCCTCCTCCCACTACTGGTGAAAGAATAGGGTGTAGAGGACCTGTGATGTCACTGAACCAAAGAAACCTGGAAAAGTGGGATGTAAAACAACATTTTTATTTTATAAGTTTTTGGGTACTCCCAATGCAGGAAGGAATCCCAAGTGCAGAGATTTATTTAAAAGTGGACTGAAAATGCTGGTTGGGATCACAAGTAATACTCTTAATGGCAGAAATAGTTTTGGGTGACACTATCAGTATTAAGTGAGCACCAGCCAAGACTTTGGAAACCATGTCAGCCTAAAACACCCTATTATATTTGAGAGCTCAGATATTTACACTTTCAGCATTACTTTCCTTAAACATGGACATCGACCTTGGACGTTGGTTGGATATTTAGCAGGTTTGATCACTGAAAGTTCCTTCTTTCTTGACGAGTGTGCACATGTATTTATGACATCATTTTGTACCAGTACACGAACAGACCGCACTATCCGGAGAATTCCAATACTTCAGACTTTATTGAAATTCACAGCAAATCCAGTATAACAGTGAGTAAAAGTGTATAAAGCAACAAATACCAGCACCGCACACCCCCAACCAGCTACAACCTCTCACATGTTTCACCCGTAGGCTTATTCATAGAGTAGAGTAGTAGACCTCTATGAATAAGCCTGCGGGTGAAACATGTGCAGACATGATCTCCAGATGCTGTTTCTGCCCAAGACATTCAGCATGTGCTTATCTATGGGACTTTTTATGAAGTAAACATTGTCACTAGTATTGTAGTTGTATGTAAATATCATCTATAAAAACAAATGTGTTCTAGAACTGCCTGTGGTTTTGACTAAATGATTGCACTCCAAAGACATGCTATATGTAGGTTAATTGTCTCCTGTCTAAATTGGCCCTCGTATGTTTGCATGGGAGATAGGGACCTTAGATTGTAAGCTCCTTGAGGACAGGGACTGATGTGAATGTGCACTGTGTAAAGCACTGTCGGCGCTCTATAAATACCAATAATAATAATCGTAAACACACTACAAAGCGGCCTTACTGGGCACTGATGTATTCTGTGATTTATAGGTTAGCTTTGTTTGCCCCATTGTTTTTTCATTGTGCAGTCTAAAGTTGTACATTTCAGGTCTGCACAGTCTTAGTATAATACTTTAAAGTGCTCCCCTGTGGAAAAACGAGTAGTGAAGTGCCATGTATGATGGCTAAAGGCTAAGTTTACCTTTGTAACAATGCATTGCTATACCCATATTCATGCTGGGTTCACACATAGACGCGTTGTCAGCATGCGGTTATTTGCGTGTTGTGCACATTTGTATGCACGTTTTAACGCACGTAAATAAAGATGTGCGTTTTGATTGGCCGCTTATAAACCATTGTAGGCACTGAGAACGCATGTATAAACACGCAAAACGCTCACGAGATTGTGCAACATGCTTCTGTTCTGTGTTTTGCCCATTTCCAATGAAGTCTATGGGGAACAAAAGCTCTTAACTGTCCAAAGAAGTTCCTGTATCTTTTCGGGCGTTTTGGTGTTTTTCTGCTCAGGTGTGAACCAGGGCCATTAAAAATCATGGGAATTCTTGTGTTGGGCAGTTAAAAGCGCTTTTCGAACTGCTCAAAAACTCCTAGGTGTGCACCAGGGCTTAGGGTGTAGCATGAAGCATGGTTACACCCACAACCCCTCACCCCCAAACCACACACTCTCCACTTACCTGAATCTTGGGGTTCTTCTCCCCGCACACTGCTCCGCCCACACATCCATGTCATCCAATTATAGATCCTTTCATAGGGAGGGAATGTAGAAAGGGAAAGGTTGTAGACTTTGGAGATAAGCTGTTCTGGGAATGTATTGCATGCAGCTTGTTCATTCCAGATTTATCTTCCTCACAAAGCTTCACCTCTTACTATGTAGAAAAGCCTCCCGAATACAGTTTTCAATATTATTTTACTTTTATATTCCCTATAGTTCTGAATTGTTCTGCCACTCATTGTCTAATAAAATCAAGAACTTTATTTGCGTATTCAGTCTCTCTCGTTCACATTTATTTTTTTTTGGTTAAGGTGGAGTCATTGCTTCTACTTTTTATGCAGCCAGCTATTACAGAAGCTGTTAGTCTGATATTGTAACATGCACCCTTATCCTCTGAAATGAACTGGAAAGTTCAAGCAATAATAAATGCAAAGACCTACAGCTGTATCAGCTAATGTAACCTGACAAGGGCAGACGGGCTTCAGTGAGCCTGGGGCTTTCTGTCTGTGTATCCTATTTGCCTTGTTTGGTATAATGGGATAGAAAGTGGATTTACCATGTTCCCAAAAACCCAACACTGGGTCTAGCACATGGCAGTTTTATGTGCTGTATCTATAAAATGATAAAGCTTTCCCTGGAATGAGATATATTGTGACGTCTGCACTGACACTAGGCGTGAGTGACGTCCTCTTTTTATTGGTTGTCTGTCTGCTGTTTTTTAATACATCTATGAGCTGGACTAACAGATTGATAATGATGTGATTGAATGCATGTGCATTCTGCTTTCATTTCCAACTCTTGGCAACAATATAGGGATGTGTGCTTTAGGTGTCTTATTAAATCTGCTCTGTGTAATTTCAGATTTGGATTGTTGGCAATGCTAGTGGATGCCGTTTGTCTGTGTGGAGAAATCCTCCATTTACAGTGTAATTACAGCAATGGGTAGTTTTGGAGTATAATTTGATGAAAGAATAAAAGCTGTAAGGTTTGTGTTAATAGAGAAACCTAAAATAATAGATTTTAGTGAGCCTGTCAGCCATTAAATAGATCTTGTCACCAACTGAAAATTCTGCAGGTAAAAGCGCAGAAAAATAAAGTACTTTTAAATGCTTACTTGCAGTATTTTACCTTCCCATTTAATGATGGTTTACTCCATTGCAATGTGCTTTTGAGTGTGCTAGAAAATGTGACTACTCTAGGAGAGTCGGTTTCCTAGCACAGCCCCCTCCCTCCTTGCACCTCATATCACTCACCCCTTCTAGGATAGCCTAATTACGGTCTGTGCTTGACCCAGCATCTTCACCTCTCCCCTCCCTCCATCATCTTTTATGTATCTGCCGGAGAAGGAATATATTAAAGATCACTGGTGCCCAGACTGCGGCCCCACTTCCACTTGGTGTATCAAGTATGACTCTCCAGGCCCCAGCAGTGAGTAATGGGAGCCATTGATTTGTAAAGGGGACTTTATTACCGTAATCTCAAACCATTTCGTGCAACATGCTCCTACAGCTTGACCTCAGTCTCCAACCACTCCTGTAGGACAGTCTGATCATTTCCTCTAGCAAGTCCTCAGTCTAGGACAGTCTTCTGTAGCATTACAGAAGATTATTTGCAGATATCAGGGGCCGCATTTAGGCTCCCTTATACCCTGTGATTTGATAATCACTGCTATAGAATGTCACTTCAGAGACTGTTAACCTCTCATCCAAGATAGCAGCACCCAGTAGCAGTCTTAATGTATAATGTACATTATATGAAAGAGCCACCAATAACTTGCAAAGTGTATGGGTAAATACTGGCATCTAAACTAATGAGATTTGATCTCTGTATAACTTTTCTATGTACCTTTTCATGCCAGGCAAAAGAAGGTGACAAAGAGGTAGCTGGTAATATTCTCCTTTGGGGTAGCTAGGAAGTCACTGGTGTGTTTTCAAAATACTACTTCCTGCTATGCTAGCTTCTTTTTAAATATTCTCTTTTCTGGTGATCTCCTGACACTCCTATTCATCCATAAATATTACATGAATTTTAAAATAACGTGAATAACCACCCTGTGTTTATTTTTCCAACTAGGTGTGTTGTGGTGTTATTAAATCCCCGAAAGAACAAACAGTATCATATCCTGAACAGCTCCAGGTGAGTATTGTATGGTGTGCTGTGTGTAAATCTTTATACTGATCATATACATCAGTGTTTCTCAACTTTTTCTGGTCATGACATCCTTTAAAAGTATGCAAAATCATGTGGCACCCCAGTTTTAAAATGTCAAAACTGTAAATGTAAAATATAACATGTGGTCCCGCTAAAATCCATACAAGACCCTTATACGAAATTGGGGTCTGGTATGGAAAGTGGGGTTACCCCCTTTACATCAGAGTCTCAACAACACAGCCCCTCTTTTACATCAGGAGCCCTCTTTACATCAGAGGCGTGACATTGTGTGAACATTTCGAGGCACCTCTGAGGAAGCCAGAAGACACACCAGGGTGTCATGGCACTCTGGTTGATCAAGGCTGGCATACACAGATTAGTGACAACTGCCTACTACAGGGGTAGCCAAACTTTGGCCCTCCAGCTGTGGTGTATCTGATTGTTATTTAAAGAACTCTGGGCATATAAAAACTTAAAGAAGAATAATGGGGTGAGTGAAATACACTCCTGCCCATAATTCAAGCCGACCTGTCACAATGAAGCCGTCGCATGTCGATTCTATTGATCAGGAACTTGGCAAACACATACCGCTGTGTGCTGAGTTTCCGATCCTCTCCCTGCAGAGAGTAGTGACTGTCAGTCATCGCTCCCCGCAGGGATTCTCCCCTCCCCTCTCTGATCCTCCAGCGCTGACTGGAGGAACGAACGGGGAGGGGGCGGGCACAGGTGCCTTTTGGCTCTAGAGAGGCAGAGCCAGCTGTCAATCAGCCAGCGGGGTGGATCTTGACTGCTCACCAATCTTCCCTTCCACTCCGATGGTGGTGTGTTCCTTGGTGTCTTCGCGTCTAAAATACTGTATTCCATGTAATAACTCATGGATTCTTAGACCGCCAAAACCCAAGGGAAAAGAGGCTGTGATCTAGCAGCCAAGTACTTCTCTAAGAACCATAAATCCAAACAACAGTTTATCTTATTGCCCAACTCCGGCCTGCTGTTAAAATGTACCCATGCAGTGGGTTTGTTTTGCTCCTTCTTCCTCATTCCCCCGGCAGCCTGCACTTTCCTCCGTTGTTCGTTGTCCTGGTTTGTGGGCGGGCCCACGCCATACTCCTGTACAGTGCAGGACTGCTGGTCCGGCATTGTACAGTATGACATCGGAGAGCTACAACCAGCCGGGTAGCGAAATGAAGCAGCTTTGCGCGACTGTTCCCGAAAAGAGAGAGCATGCGTGAGCGAGCAATAAGGTAAGTAATGCTACTTATCTTTTTTCCCACTGCATGAGTACATTTAAAAGCAGGCCAGAGTCCTTCTTTTTTTTAGGGAGGTTCGCTCTGATTATCCTAATTGCAAATGTCAATGGGACTAAAAGTGAGTGTAGATCCAAAATTTGGGGAACAGTAATAGAGGGGAAATCTTCCAATAGGGACACTTGTTCCCATGACAGCTGTCTAAGAGATATAGTCTTCGATTGATAAGATATCCTCTCACTTCCTGTTGACAAAGACACACATATGGCAAAAAAAAACTATGGCAAAAACAGTTTTAGCCCTCCCATAGTCTATCCAAAATGGGGGGGGGGAGGGGGGGATAGATCTACTTTAAAGCTTGGTTAATATATTCTGAAACTCAGGGTCTCACTAGGTCAAGAAGTGGGGAGAAATTCCATAATGGACATGCAGACCCCGATAACAATAGCCAAGCTAGCAACAATGAAGAACAGTTGGCACTAAAAACCTAATTTCAAAAAATAGCGTTTGGCTGGAGTTCCTTTCATATTTTCTTTCTGTAACAATACTACATATTCAGCCCTGCACAGAATGCGTTTGTTCAGACTGACTTGGAGAACAGTTCATGTAACATTCCCTGCCCTCTAACCCATATAATCATATTCAGTACATTTGTTGCCAGTCCCTCACAATTGGCACTCTGTTTATATTTTCTTTCTGGTCATTTGATCTTTTTGCTATTCCAGCTTGGCTAGTCTTGCTATTTTGTTCTGTCTGCCTCTCGGAGTTCCAGCTCTATTAATGGCTTTAGCCAATAATTGACCTGGAGGGCTCCTATTTTCTTCCTCACACCTCTGGGTGACGAGAGGGCATCTAAACATCAGAGGCTGGAACTAAATTTGTCCTTGACACAAAGCATGAAGGACGAACATTCTTTTACTCTTGCTGCAAGATTAGGAAGATGGCCTTCGTGAATGCTTGCCCTGGTTACTTGAGATTCTTTTAGCTGTACGACCCATGAAACCAAAAATACAAATGGCTTTTGATTAAATCTCTTCTTGTCAAGAAGTGGGATTTAATTATCCTGTTAGACAGCTCTGTATTTGTTCAATATTTGTTCACTAATTCAGAATCTCCCTGAAATTAGGACCCTTTACGAAATTAGTTATATACTAGATGGCCATTGGTAGGTTAATATGGCCACACATATGCTAATCTGTACAATCTCATTTAGATTTAACAAGAAATATGTAGTTCAAGGCCCAACATGATTGAACACAAATTGAACTGAGGTATAAAGTTGGCCATGCACCTAAAGATTATGTGCAGATTTTCTAGGGTCAGATGGAAAAAGTGCAACAGATTCCACCATCTACGCTAAACTAATTTCTATGCATTAATACATGTCTTGATGCGCAATGTAAAGTCCATTGCAATGCATGCTAAAAGATACAGCAATGCTCATTGTTAGGCATTGACTTGCGTTTTAATGCATTTGTTGGATTCTAAGGCAAACTCTTCAGGAAAAAGAACCTAAACCGCCAAGGTGTGAATTTGTTCTACTTGTTCCTGAGCTACTAACATGTACAAAACTACTGTTATGGAATCTAGTAAAGTCTGTAAGCTTGTCTGTCTATGCACCTCAGTAAATGTAATGGCAATATTATTTGGCACCTGATATTTTATGATGAACAAGACAGACCATGTTCAGTTGCTGACCTCTTGAGAAGCTAAAGCAAGATGAATCGGTTTCACCATAAGCTGTGGTTGATCAGATGTCCACCTTTTTACAGACTTGTGTCTTGAGTCTTATCCTTCAGTGTGGGTTCAAAGGAATAGTAGGTGACTAATATTGTGTGGGGGAAGAGGTTGTGTCTGTACAACTGACATGCCATTTTCCTACTTGTGTTTTGAATGTTGTGCAACTTACCTGTATTTCTATTTTATAACTTAATTTCCTATCTCTATATTTTAGAAAAACAATCACTGCACTTGCATTTTCCCCAGATGGAAAATTCTTGGTCACAGGAGAGGTATGTGTTTTGTAGTGAGAATGAGTCCTCCTGTTCATTCTTAGTTATATGTCTACAGTAAACTGCATGTTGAGGAATATGGAGCGGTTTATCTAAAGCCAAAACCTTTTTTTTTTTTTGGATGGATTTTGTTTTGAACAGAGTGGGAAAGGGTTAACATCAGGTCTTTGTTGACTCTACCCTCACTGGGGAGATTCTCTTTTTGTTCTATTAATAACTGTCACAGGGACAGAAAGTGGGGAAAACTTTAAACTTTTGAGTGGTAACCAGAACGGGAATAAAGGGGAAATCTTCCAACGGGGACAACTATCTAAGAGATTTCCTTCACTCTGGTGAGGGTTCCTCTCACTTTGTGTGTGACTGTGTGTACAAGATAGGTGGTGAAGGGAAATCTCCCCAATGGAAAAAACATTCCACTGCAATGCACCGCAATTTTGAGATATTGCTTGTGCGTGAGATAACAAGAAAAGATTGGATAAATATAGAGGGAATAGGTATCGCCCCTTTTGATTTTATAGTGGGTTTTTTTTCACCTGTTATTCATTCTTCTACCATGGAGGGGGAAAAAAATCTAAAGACCAAAATAAGTGGAGGAAAAAAATCTCATTGTACCGGTAAATGGAAATGTTTCTAAATGGAAACACTTGTGTAATAAAAAAAAATGATGTGCATTTTCTATTCCTTGTAAAAGGTGTCAAGCCATGCTAGTGTAAATGGTTTGCATTTTGTCCAGCTTCCCACATTGAAGGAACACTGTTCTGTCTTCTAAAACTTCCAAACATTTCACTGCATGTGGGTCAATTCTCCCGAAACAAAAGCATTGAAGCCATCTGTGTCTAGATGCTTGATTGAGCATTGAAGTCATTCTGGGACACTGCGGCATGACTGAAATAGACAATTACCCTGTGTCATTAGGAAACCACTGCTCTGCCGCCTCTGAGACTGACACCTTCCTCCTTTTTAGTAGAAGGTGCTAGACGCTAGTCACACGTTTGGGCAAAAATAGGCATGTTTTGGTAAAGGTTAGGTAATGTGAGTAGTCATGGTTCAGCTCACACTGAAATTCTCTCTTCCTTCTATTCTCCATAATTAGACTACACAGATGTTGGCAGGTTTTTTTCTTTCCATCTTGTCATTGGCCAGTTTTCTGCAGGGCATCTATTTATAGCCCAGCCCAGATGTTGGGATTTTTTTTTCATCTGCATAGACATATGTCCACTCTGAAAAGAGGCTAAACCTTCACAAAATGCTCAATATGGGCACAGCTTTAAGTGGAAGCTATATCTACTTCCAGTGGTCATCAACAAATTACAGCTGGCCCCTTCAGCTTCCTGTCTCCACTTCTGCATTCAGTTTTTCCTCATCAAAAACATTTTGTTAAACGTTCGGGTCTAGGGATGGTGGTGTGTGCCCAGGAGTTTTTAAATAAAGTTTTCCAGTTTTGGCTGTTTCTTTAGTTTGGTTCTTCTAGTTATTTAACAAATAATTAAAACGAGTTACTAATACAATTTACTAATATGTGTGGATGTAGGGAGAGATATAGAGAGGGATAATCTCCCCAATGGGAAATGGTCAGTGAGGATGAAAACTCTTCACAGGGTTTTGAACATTCCCTACACTATCCAAAAGGAAAACAAATTTTTGGCTTTAGATATGCTTTAGGTTTAAGCAAACATGCTGCATTTTATCACACTGGATGCCCCTGCTGCACTGCAGTTGGGGAGTCCTCTATGGAGTGTACCCATTGTACTTGCCACATGAATTTAAAAAGAAAATGTGCCATATAACGCAGTAGCCCATCTACTAAAATGCTGCGTTTTTGCGGATGGGCTAGTGTGAATGGGCGCTGAATCTGCCTAGTTTTTGGGCCCCCGTGGACACGTTACAAGTTATATGAACACGCACGTAGGCTTCTGTTTTTCATATTACCTGCCTGTTTAACCCTTTTAAGTAAACCACGGGGGCACTTTAGGTGCACCTTTTTTTTATTACCATTTTAGGTTGCAGGAGGCCTGGCACAGACTCACTGCTGTGGTCCTTAAACAAAGCCTGTAATGAGACTTCTTAAACACACAACAAAAAAAAAGGTTACCTGCTTGTCCCTGGCTTCAACACTTTTGTGGAACAAACATGCAAAATTGAATATCATGGTGAAGTCGTAAATCCTGATCTGGATATGTAAAGTTATGTTCTTCAGTGTTGAAGCCATTGGATAAGCATGACCACCAGGCACTTCTAAATTGAACTCTGTCATGGCAGCCTCTGGGTTTTCTTACTACAGGTTTTTCCTTTACAATGTATACATGTTGTAGTATTCCCTGAAATTATTTTGTATTTTTGGTATCTTTGCTGTACATATTTTGTACTGCATTGTGTCGCTGTAACTTTCATGTATGTTTTGTGCTTTGTTGGTAAGAAAATCATTTTCTAAATGTGTTGTAATTTTGCTCGCAGAGCGGACATATGCCCGCAGTACGGGTCTGGGATGTGGCTGAAAGGACACAAGTGGCTGAACTTCAAGAACACAAATATGGAGTGGCCTGTGTGGGCTTCTCTCCTAGTTCCAAATACATTGTGTCAGTGGGATACCAGCATGATATGATTGTCAACGTGTGGTCATGGAAGGTGAGTCTTCAGAACAAACAAACAGAATAAAATGAAGTTTGACTGCAATATGACATCACAACATTTTCAGTTTTCTCTGTTTTGTTCTTTTCATTCTATCCATGTTGTCCCTTTCTCAGTTATCTACAGGCAAGAATGGACAATTATCACTTAGAGTCTGTCTTTAGTTTTTAAAGAAACCACAGACAGGTTTTTCGGCAGTGTTTTCAGGCTTTATAACCTTTGTTGCCACACATGTACACATACAGCATTCCTAAAGGAAGAGGTATTCTTTTAACCCCTCCAGCTGCCTGTGTCTCCGACATTACCTCCAGAGCTGCATACTCCAAGTCTCTACAACATTCGGCGCAAACATCCAACACACCCAGAAGTGTCGAATGCTGAAGAGACTGAAGCTGCTTTGCTGGAATGGAAGGCATGAAGGAGACCAAAGCTGCTAGAGAAGTGAATTGCACCTAATGCACATAAAGTGTACAGTAAATAAAAAGAAAAAATGTGCACCTACACTGTAGTGCACTACAATGCACAAATGTGGATACTCTATGCATTGTGTCATGCTGCATTGTTTAAAATGGCACAGGTTTGTTTTCCATGTGTTGAAAACCCATTCAAAATGGCTGCTTTAAAGCCTGTCCCTTAATTTAAAAAAACTAAACTCCCCTTAAAGTGGGACGACTTCTGCACTGCAATGGGTAACGTCTCATTTTTGTCATGGGAAATTCTTTAAAGCAGTTTTACTTACCTGATACCCACTTCTGCTGGCCTCTGCAGCCTCTTCCTCCACCCTACGCTCTGGCAGGCAGAGGCCCACTGACGTCGTCATGTCTAAAGCTCGTGACACACTGCATGCGGAGCAAAGCAAAGCTGTAAGGCACGAACGTTCCCATGTTAGTGTATGAGCAGAGTGCTGCCAGATGATGGCCTGAATCTTCAGCCAATTGGCTTGCGCGTCACATCCGAATGGACTTTGCATCCTGATGCGCGGGTTTATACGCGCAAGGCGATTGACTGAATATGAAACTTCATCTCGGCACGCTCACCTTTGCAAGCTCTTGCATGCTGATGCACCGGAGTGAAAATGACATGACACACTGCAAGTGAAGGTCCGTGCACCACTGCTCCACGCTGCTTCGCGTGCAGTGTGTCACAGGCCTTATGCAGAGTCCATAGCCCTGCATTAGACAGGAGTACGTCATGCACCGTCCACAAGCCAGGGTGGAGGAGAGAGAGGTAAGCTCCGTCCACCAGGGGAGCGATGATCAGGTAAGTAAAACTGCTACACAGAATCCCCCTAGACAAAAAGCAGCAGTTAGTCCTTGCAGTGCGGGGGTAGCCCCACAGCAAGGGAGGGTATTTATTTTTTAACCAGATATAGTCAAATATAGTTAAATTATGGCACTTCAACACACCACAAATGCATGTTTTAAGCTCCACTTTTTTGCTCAATATGATATAAGCAAGATTAGCAAGGTAAAAAAAAGTGGTATTCCTTTAAATAGTGATTCAACTGGTCTGCTGCCTTATTTGTCTAATATGGGTGGTACAATGAAGGCAAACCAAGCAGTGAGTCCGTTGTAGGCAGCATTCGGCTGTTTCACATTTTGTTTTAGTATTGGCAGTAAATCTGCAGTGGTCCTTCTTATAACAGCTTGTCAGATTCTGGTAGTTTTTAAGGTTAGAAGAAGGGAGAATATGATTGGTTCCTTAAGGGTTGTCACTTTTCTTTTAGACTCTTTTTGTACATGAGATTTGGTGTGTCTGTTTTTTTTTTCTTCTTTTGTTTCTGCATTGCGTCATTGTAGGGAAGCCATCCAACTGCCATTTAAGGGGTTAGAGAGGTTTGTATTCCTCGTACTGTGAGAATAGCTTCCTCGAATGTACTAGGAATTGTATGTTTAGACACAGCGGGGCAGATGTATTAAAGTGCTGGGTTTTCACATATGCATTTCACTTCAAAGCCCCCCTTTTGATATAAAGGCATGAATCAAGTATGATTCAACTTTACACATGCATTAGTCTTCCTGTCGGATCCATTAACATTTGTCCCCTTTCTTGCAGTAAAATGCATAATTTTACTGATGAAAATGCATTTCAACTCCCACTTCTTTCTCCTTGACATCTATTTAGTGCAGCTAAAGTGTTTTTATAGAGCAGAGCACCTGTTTGTGTGTTAAGCAGGCCAATTTACATGAATGATAAATGTACAAAAACACTTGGGGGTTATTCACAAAGCTGCCGTAGGCAGCCAAGTGAATAACCCAAGTGAAGTGAGCCGAGCGCTATTCGGCTATTCACTTCTGGCTTGTACGGCTGCTTTCAGCCGTACATCGGCTGCACTTAGGTCAGCTGAACATGCTGAGCCAAAATGCAGAAGGACTTCGACTCAGCTGATCCAACATCTGAATCGGCTGAGCCGAAGCTCCGGCAGCTTACTCGCTGCCGTTCGCCCTATTCACATAGGGGCCGAACGGCAGTAAATGAATAGTCCAATGCCGCCGAGCGGCATTCGGCTCGGCTGTTCTGCTTGGTACCTCTGTGGTACTGAGCAGAATAGAAAATCAATGAAAATAGCCAAGAAGAAAAATGTTTTAAAAAATGTATATAAATAGTAACATTTAAAAATAAAGATTTAAAAAAAAAAATGTATAAAAAGAAAAACAATTGGACAGAGCTAGCAGTGACGGCTAGCTCCACCCAACTGTTTCCCATTGGCCGGCACCTGCTAATCTTCTAGCAGGTCCTGGCCAACGAATAACTGGGCAGAGCTGGCCGTGATGTCGCGGCTTGCTTTGTCCAATTGTTTAATAAAAGCTCAGCGTCCCCAGGTAATTTGGGGATGCTGACCTGTCATTACAACTGGGCAAAGCCAGCTGTGAGATCATGGTTGGGTCCACCCAGCTGTCATTTGCGGGGCGAAAGGCCGGCATTCGGCAAGCCGTTCGCCCCACTTCAGCTGTCACTTCGGCTTAGTCGAGCCAAAGCATATGCCTTAGGCTCGACTGAGCTGCTCGGCAGCCTTCAGCTACTGTGCGGGCTATAGTGAATAGCCCGTGCAGCAGCCCTTCGGTTTGACTGAACCGAAGAGCTCCGGCGGCTGAAGAGAGCTGAAGGATCAGCCGAAGCTATGACTGATCCTTCGGCTCCTTCGTGAATAACCCCCACTTGTGTTATGCAGTTTTTCCATTTATTATGCATTTGTCCCATGGAAAATCCCTGTTCTAATGGTGTCTCTCTTACATAAGGTGTGCAGCAACATGCTTTGCTGCATATGCATAGGTGTGAGAGGGCCCTTACTCCCCATTATGAGGGCCAGTTACATTATGACCAACTTTTCCTGGCAGCTTTTGAAATGTTGAGCAATGTTTCTCACAGCCATCTGATTCAGATCGGCCATGGAAAATGTTATAGGATTGGTGATGCAGAAAGAGAGAGAGGAAGTTACACATTGGCTGTGAGAAGTACATTCTCAGTGGGGTTTTCTCTGCTTTTGTAGCACTGGATTTAATAGTTTAGATCAAAGTAAAATGAGCAAACTCTCTAATTTTAGCATGGCACTAGTTACTCATGGATTTGTTTTCCTTCTTGCGTATGATTGCACTTTAGTTTTGACAGCATATACATAGTGCTTAACCAGCTGTCTTAAAACACAACTCTAGGTTAAATTGTTGTTGTTTTTTTCTCACCTAAAGATGTCCCCCAGCCAGTGTATAAGTAAGTATATATTATAGCAGCTCAGGTGCAATACTTTTCTTCAATTAGGAGCTGGCACCTATAGTACCTCTTCTTTGCCACAAGATGTCCTCAGTTTTCCATGTTGACACAGTGTCATTCAACAGAAGACTGAGGACATACTGTGAGTGCAGGTTGTCTTAGGCCACCAAGGCATCCTGCACTTGCTGTGTAAGAGTAAAGAGCAGTGCTTACTTCATCACACTGGTACTGCTCTGCAGAAAAGAGGTCTACCCTGCCTGAACAATAGGCGAAAATACTTCGAGTAAGGGTCACAAGGGGGATTGATTTGGCAGGGAACGTGGTTTACAGACCCCAGATTTGGTCTTTGTGCATAAACTTCAAAAGTCATTTATAATGATTGAAAAATTGTGATAATGTGACAGTTGTGTGTCTGTCATAATTCCATACATTTTTATTTTCTCCTTGTGCAAACTGCCAGTAAAATACAAATTGAGCGTAACTTCAGATAGATTTTAACATGAAGACATTTTTTAAAAATACACACGTTTTGACATGAATAAATAATTGTTCCCAGCCTAGGCAGTCTAGGTAACATGATCTATGATTACTACTGCATAGTGTCTGTTTTCAACAAAGAGATAAGAGGATCAAACAGACTACTCAATGTACGGAGGTAATGATTAACCATGCACAAGCACTAGATATCTTTGATCTCATGGGTAAGCAGAGTATACATTAATATACCTTGATATTGTTGTTTACTTGTTCTCTCTGCCTAGTAAAAAAAATGTTACCAAAAAGGGATTAGCTGGTAAACCGTTTTACCAATCACATTGCTATCATGGGAGGACACTGCTTCTGTTACTAAATATGGGCCTTAAGGGACATGGGTGAGTCATATGCACATAAGACTTGGTCAGATCTCTGCTATTACAAGTAGTGCTGGCTTAATATCCCAGCAGTAGACATGGCTAAATATGTATACACTTATACAAGTTCCTAGATGTACTGTAGACAATGTAGATGCCGTGTTTTTTCTTTTTCCTGTTTGATTCAAATGGCACTCTTTTATATGAAGGCCAATCTGTACAACAATCTGTAAGATGTTCGTGCCTTGGCGGGTTAAAGGCAGATATATAAGCATCTCAGATTTTCTTTGAAGAGCCATTAATCTATTTAACTAGATTACTGCAGTTAAAGAATAATCAATGCGCCAAGGCCTCACACGTCTTTTAAGATCAATATCAGAACTATCAAATGAGAGCCCACCTCTTCAGGAGATATGGATCCTTGAAAACCACTATTCCAGATTCTGGGCATTATGTTCTGTTGATCATGGCTGTTTAGTTTATAAATGTTGTATGCATATGTTTAAGATGTTTAGTGCTCTGGCCATTTAAAACTTTGCACACATTGTTTACTTGCCTTTTTTTGGAATGTCACAGCCTATACAAGTTCTTTTTTGCAGGAGAACTATTATAAAAAGTAATTCATGGAGGAAACAGTTTAGGTGTTATCATAATTATTAATTCTGCTAGGTTTGATAAACTATGTGGTCAAAAGCTTACGGATACCCATAACACCTACGCATATGACCAAAAGTAGGGAGGCGCTCCTCCAATTTACTTATAGTAAAGGGTACTGTTAATGCTACAACATACAAAGTTACTTTGGGCAATTCTGCCCGTTCAGCCTTGTGGCTACAGTTTAGGGAAAGCCCTAGTCTGATTCATAATGACCGTTCCCCTGTGCACAAAGTCAGGTCTATAAAGGCATAGTGTAATACAGGTGAAACTCGAATAATTAGAATATCGTGCAAAGTTCATTTATTTCACTAATGCAACTTAAAAGGTGAAACTAATATATGAGATAGGCTCATTGCATGCAAAGCAAGATAGTTCAATCTGTGATTTGTGATGATTATGGCCTACAGCTCATGAAAACCCCAAGAACCCCAAATCCACAATCTCAAAAAAGTAGAATATTACATGCAATCAATAAAAGGATTGTACATAGAACAATATCGGACCTCTGAAAAGTACAAGCATGCATATGTACTCAGTACTTGGTTTGGGCCCCTTTTGCAGCACTTACTGCAATTACTTTTGCACGATATTCTAATTATTCGAGTTTCACCTGTAAGTTTTGGTGTGGTGTAAATCGAGTGACCTTCACAGAACCCTGATCTTAACTTTATTGAACACCTTTAGAATTAATTGGAACAATGATGGTGAGCCACGGGCACACTCCAAAATCTTATAGAAAGCCTTCCCAGAAGAGTGGAGGCCATTTTAACAGCAGTGGGGAGGCCCAACTCCATATTTAATGCCCATGGTTTTGAAATAAAATGTCAACAAGCTAATATAGGTGTGATGTTCCAGTGTCCACAAGCTTTTGGCCAAGGTGTATGCATTATTGATATACACGCTATATTAGGTATAAGATCCCCCATCCATTAATGCACTCTTTTATGATTGTATTTTGGTGTTGTCTGCTCATAACTTTGAAATATAATGTTTTTTTCTATGTTTTATTCTTTGTTACAATATCTGACTTTGCTTCTCTAGAAAAATGTGGTGGTGGCAGCAAACAAAGTCTCTAGTAAAGTAACAGCCGTGTCATTCTCTGAGGATAGCAGTTACTTTGTCACGGCCGGGAACAGACATGTCAAGTTCTGGTACCTGGATGAGGCAAAGTCATCAAAGGTGAGTTGAGAAATATAAGGTCAGGACTTAATAGGTAACTATAGAATTCTGAATGTTTGCAGCTCTGTTTGCCACCAAAGTTTTCTTGTAGTGTATCTATGTGACCAATAACAATATACAAAACAATAAAATGTTTTACTAATTTACCTGGAAGTGTATGCTAAATTGTATACATGTGTAAATATTCCTCCAGTCGCTCATAAATCTGGGCAATTCGCTTATGGTAAATTAAGGTAGTAGAGCTAAGAAGAGGTAACTTTCAGTGAGAGCCATATTGCAATTTGATGAGCAGATTTAGTGGTACAGGTAACTGAATTTTTGTATGCAAATTTCACCAGTGAAGCTTTTTGCCACTCCCTCCTGCTTCCCCGTCCCTCCTTCCCCTTCCACCTGTTACATGAAAGACCTGTGAGGGGGCAGAGCCACGCTGAAATGCTGCCAATTTATTTTTTTACAACTTCCCATATCTGCCTCCCCTATGGGCTTATTTATAACAGACAACTAATATATTTCTGCTAAACTCTGCTAGTTTTACTTCACAGCTTGGTTTTCTGGTTAATTTTCTCATTCATGTTCAATAGTGCTCAGCTATGCTTTATAATTATGCCTTGTTTGGTTTTCCTAAAGCACCACTACTTTTTAATGGACCCCTATAATTGTATCTAATGATAATTAAGACATGCAGTTATAGAAGGTTACCTATGTATCTTCCAGGTGTTTATCTGCAAGACACTTTATCTGTAGCTCCTGATTTTCCTTTTGCAGTGATTTACTAAAGTGCTCCATGTGGGCCTGATGTTGGGTTTCCACCCACATATGGAGAGTTTCAGTGATGGTTTTTAGTGACCTCACTATAACTATTTCTGCTGCAGTTGGGGCAACCCAGAAGCAGCAGTCACTTAGTTTCTTTGAACCCCAGAATTATGAAAGCATGTGCTCCTTCATGCTGCTATCTACCAGTACTAATGTGCCTGTTTATTCTATGACAACCCAGAGAATGTAGATGCTTATACTACAGTCGCTTTTTATTGTAGCCTGCTTTGTTTATTTCTCTGCCTTCTAAGCTGGCACGAGCTGTGTGATTTCATGGTCTTCCTCTTGCCAGCTGAATCATGCCAGCCGGTGTAGGAAACTGAGTGTGATCACTTCTGACTGCACAGCGAGCACTGATGAATTTTTTTCTCTCAAAATTTATAACGAAGCTTGTTAACATTTGGTGAACATTTGTTAAGAGTCCATTGATGGAGGTACAGATGGAAATAGTAAATTGAGTGCAATGAATCCTTTGTTCTTCATGCTGTACTTGCAAATATGTAAGTGGTTGATTGGCCTAATAAATTATTCTGAGTGACTAATGGAAGTATTTACAGTTAGTGCTTTAGAGTGGAATGTCCTGAAAATGATTTTGTCTGTCACATCTCTAAAATCCCTGTGTATTAAAAAAAGTAATATGGGTAGGCCATATAAAATGTATAGATGACAGCATTAAGAGTTCTATTTAAAAGTGGGGATATTTAGGATGTTACTTAAACTGAGAGTTTTCCTGGTGTAGTCACAACTTGGGGAGTTTTTTTTTTGTTCTATACTTGGTTGATTTCTGTCCATCCCCTTTATTGAAGGGCACTTTCTCTCCCAAAGTGGTGGATCCCATGAAAAAGGGAACACAGCAGATGTTAAAGGAGAACTATGAGGTGAGTGATTTTCACTCAACCTCATAGTTCGAGCCGACGTGTGACAATGAAACTGTCACACGTCGGCTCAAGAGATCGGGAAGTGAGCGAACACATGCCGTCGCTCGCTCACTGTCACTCATGGCTTCCTGCAGGGATTCCTCCCCCTCTCCGTTCCAAACCTCCAAACCTGGCGGAACGGACGGCGGAGGGGGCAGGTACAGCTGGCTCTGCCTCTGGATAGGCAGAGCCAGCTGTCAATCACGCAGCTGGGTGGATCTCGACTGTAATGTCGGGATCCGTCCAAGGTGCGGCGGTTATCAGTATACCGTGAGCTGTAGCTCGCGGTATACTGAGCTTTGGGTCCTGGGAGGATGCTAGTTTATTTCCTCCCGTGACCCTTAGAAGAACTATGGGGAAAAACACTATGCAGTGCGAAATACTTTAAGATTGTTTAAAGTGATCTTGGGTATTTGACTCTGAGCATATGGCTACATTTAGTGAAAACTGCATGTGAAAATGATTAGCAGATGGTGATATACGGCAGCTGAAAGCATTAAAGGAGCAATAGGAAGTCCTCTGAGTCTCAAGTGGAGGGCAAGTTTATCTTTAAGAAAAGTCAAAATGTACTTTAACCAGTTGACATCCGCGGTGTTAAACCCCCTTCCCATCCAGGCCATTTTTCAGTATTCAGCGCTGCGGTACTTTGACTGACATTTATTCCGTCTTGCATCGCTGTACTGAAATGAATTTTATGCCCTTTTTTGGGGACAGATAGAGCTTTCTTTTGGTGGTATTTATTCACCACTGGGTTTTTATTTTTTTACTATATTAAGGAAAAATTACCGAAATGTAAAAAAAAAAAACAGTTTCCCCAATATTAAATGATAAAACATTTATTATTACCCAATTTTTTGGTAAAATATAAAAGATGGGGTCACGTCGGGTAAAAAGACACTAAACATGTCAAGCCTTAAAATTGTGTGCGCGCGCGAAACCTCAAAAAACGATAATACCCAAAATTGGCC